TATAAAGATAATTCCGAGTTTGTGTATTTTGGTATAGCTAATAATTTAAAACGGTTCATTAATTCAGAATTACATATGGATAGTACTTTATCTCTACAATTTAACATAGATGGATTAAGTATATTTCATTCAAGTTTTCAAGAATTTTGGCTTATATTATGCAAAGTATTTTATTTACCTGATGTATACGAGCCATTTCCCGTTGCTATCTATATGGGAAATCACAAGCCGAATAATCTTGAATTATTATTAAATGATTTTATTGAGGAGTTAAATATTTTATTATCTAATGGTATCGAAATAGAAGGAAAGAAATTTAACGTATTTATACAATGTTTTATTTGTGATAAATCAGCAAGATCGCTAGCGAAAGGAATAAAAGGTTATGGTGGTTTCGGAGCATGTGAAAGATGTACCGTGCATGGCTTTCGCTCAGATAATAGAACTGTTTATGCTTCAGTAACATCCATTAAAAGAACCAACGAATCTTTTCGAACAATGCAAGACCCAATACATCACATACAAGTTACTCCTTTAATTAATATAAATCCACCGATAGATATGATTAAGCAGTTTGTAATAGATCCTATGCATTGCTTATTTCTTGGAATAATGAAAAAGTTATATAGCCTTAGATTACTGGTTAAGTAAACATCGCACAGAGACAAAATTAAATAGACAACAAAGTATTCAATTAAGTCAAAGACTCTTAAATTTACAAAAGTATATACCAAAAGAATTTCAACGAACCACTAGATCATTAAATCTACTTACAAAATGGAAGGCAACTGAGTTTAGGTTATTCCTACTTTATTATGGGTCCGTAGTTTTAAAAGGCATTTTATCTAAAGATTTGTATAATCACTTCCTTATTTTACATACAGCTTGTAGAATATTATTTTCAAAAGATTTCTGTAAAACATACAATAATTATGCTAAACTGTACCTTACAGCATTTGTCGAGCTCGCAAAAAAGTATTATGGGATAAAATCACAAATTTTAAATATGCATAGTCTGATTCGTCTTACAGATGACGTTATAAACATGAATTGTAGTTTAAGTGAAATAACATTATTTCCTTTTGAGACTTATCTAGGCAAATTAAAAAGATGTGTGAGATCTGGAAATAAACCTCTAGTTCAAGTATGTAACCGTTTAAATGAAACTTGGGATTTTGAGAAAAAAAAGATTACATTTCCTCCAGTAGTTGAAATCATATCGAAAAATAACAAAACATTGATGGAAATATTATTATTACAAAACTAAAATATAAAGTAATGTTATTAAAAATAAAGAAACCGGATAATACAGTATTACTTAAAAATGGGATTATAACGTTCATTCGAAGTATGAAGTTATTATTTAACGATCGGAATTACGAAAATATTCAGTTAGAAGGCTTCGTCTTACAGAGAATATAGTCAATATATGTATAAATGGCCTACAAAATCATCAGACTTTGATATGCATAAAGTTCGATATATACTAGACAAGAAATAAATTGCCGTTTAATTGACATAAAGCTCAAAATGATGAATATTGATTTATTTGAATCAATATTTGATCAGAAAAAAAGTTATGTTATTGCAATGTTACATTTATAAATATAACGTTATTTATAAACAGATTTTAAATTTAGTTTCAAGTAAAGAAATTAAATGAATTTTAAATTAAACCTTATCAGTTGTATCATTACATATTGTATTAGTTATTGATTATATATGTGTTTGTAATAATTTGTACGAAAACTTATTCTAAAATCTAAAAGACGTATTTATTCGTTACTGGCATAGCATATGACTTCGTGCAATTTATATTTCCGAAAAGATCATATTCTGACTAGATGTAATAAATCTTAAAGAAAAAAGAATAAAAATAATCATAAAAAATAATCAATCATTTTTAAATCAATCTGTATGATTTTTTAATTTAACGATTTAAAATAATTGTTATTTATTTTACAATTTTATTTATTTTAGCAAACGTTTACAATATTTTGAATAACAGTTTTTTTTACATAACTCTGTGTGTGCGTGTGCGTGTCGTGTGCGTGTGCGTGTGCGTGTCGTGTGCGTGTCGTGTGCGTGTCGTGTGCGTGTCGTGTGCGTGTGCGTGTGCGTGTGTGTACGTGCGTGCGCGCGTGCGTACGTGCGTGCATGTATATTATCCCATAATAAATCGGTATTATGCATAATACTGATTTATTATGGGATATTGTCTCTGTCCACCCCATATACGGCCTCGTTGGGTCAGGGCATACCATTGTGCCCTGGATCTTCCGCGTCCTCGACCACGTCGAACTCCTGAAACAAAAAGAATATGAACAATATTGTAAAATACTGTAAATATAGTAAATATGAAATATATAATATAGTATTACAAATGTATAGATTCTTTAAAAGTGAATCAGTGGAATCATCACTAAGTTTTAGTGTATATTATAATTTTTTAGTGGCATACTTAGAACTGTGATAAACTGTGAGTATTTCAATGTTCTTTAATTGATAATATATTTACTGATTCAAACGCAGTAAATATTATATACTAAAAGACAGTGAGTCTCACTGTCAAACAATTTTGGAAAACATACTATGTGTAAATACACTTACTATGTTGCTGCTGATGTTCTAGCGGCTGGTCCCGCGGCTGATCTTGCGGTTCGTCTCGCGGTTCGTCCCGCTGCTCGTTTCGCGGCTGGTTCCGTTCTCGCTGTTGCACTTGCAACAATTGCTCTTGCAACTTTTGTATTTGTTACTCTTGCAGATGCAGTGCAGTATGCATCTGTTGCAACTCTCTTTTTTAATTAATAAGTTGTTGTTGCAATAGTTGTACCACCTGTTGCAGCGGCACATCATCAGTCTACGTACTTGTTTCTTGTGTTTCTGATTCTTCTTGAAAAAGATCTTCTATAAAAAAAAAGTATGTAATACTTATTGTGGCGGCATATCTGGGCCACCTGATCACGCGCGCGACGCGCGCGCCACCAAGCCTCCGCGGCCGCCCGGCACATCGCGCGCCTACGCCGGGTCTCGCGCGGCGGACTTTGCGCCCTCGCCTAGGCGCCAGCCGCGAGTGTCATCTTCCTAGACAAGCCGCTAGAGGACCGAGTTTCTCGTAAGGAAGAAACGGTCCGAGAGGGTATAAGTAGGCCCGAATTGCCGATCGAAAACCAGACACGGTTCTCGAGTCGAAGACGCTTTCCGCACCCGATTAGAGCAAGCCAAGTCTTTTTGAAGAGAAAAGCAGGACGAAAGCCACCAAGCTGCCGCCTACTACCGTAACCCGTACCGGCGTCG